AGGCACCTCGGACCCGAAGTTGGCGCCCTTCGTGAACGGCTTCGCCCTGGCCGTGTGGATCTATGTGGCGGCCAACATCAGCGGAGGGCACTTGAACCCTGCAGTGAGCTTCAGCACGGCAGTCTGTGGCTTCTACCCCGTCATGCACACCTTGGTGTACATTGTGCTCCAGATCTGCGGTGCCATCATGGGTGCTTGGGTGTCTGCCCGCCTGGTGCCCGGTGGCCAAGAGCTCCTCCGCAGTGGTGACACGGGCCCAGGGTGTTTCGACCGCAGCGTCATCGGTGAAGGTCTCACTGACTCGCAGGTTTTCGGCTGGGAGTGCGTGATGACCTTCACCCTGATCTCCTGCGTCTACGCCTGCGGTGTGGCCAAGCCCGGGCACGGCAGCCACACTCCCTTCGCCGTGGGCCTGGCGCTCGTCGCCTGCGCTGGTGCTGGGGGCCAGTACACCGGCGCCGCCCTGAACCCGGCCCGCGTCTTGGGTCCCATGGCGGTCTTCTTCTGCGGAACGGATGTGGTGGGACTCTACATCGGTGGCCAGTTCACTGCGGCGATCTTGGCCATGTCTGTCTTCGCCTTCGTGTCAGGCCTCGGACCTTTGAACCCCTACATCGCGAAGAAGGCTCTGGATCTATCCTGGCCGGAGGCGACATACCTCTGGATCACGGGCTCTCCTCCCAGCCGGCTTCAAAAGACGGGCCGTGAGAACATCAACGACTTCAAGGCCATGTACAACAAGTTCTACGAGAGTGAGCTTGAGAGCGAGTCCGAAGCTCCCGCGTCGAAGGCCTGGGGCATCGAGCGGCTCTTCGGCATCAAGGGCTCCCATGCTGACACCTCTGAGTCCTCTGAGACAACCGCGGCTTCCGCATGAAGTGCACCGTCACAGTGCCTTTCAATTCGGGTGTCCTTTTAGACTGCCCCCTCTTGCTTGCAAACCTTGGGAGTGTGTCGGAACGTCCCAGAGCCAAAGCTTTGGGCCCAATTTCTGGCCCTCCCCTGCTCCTATCACCCAGAAGCGGTGTGAAGTTTTGAGCTCAAGCTTAATGAACTAGACTACGTAGTCAAAATTGTATTACATGTCTGGCAAGGGCCACAAAGGCAATAGCCAATAGTCGTAGACTTCCAGGAACCATTCTTGGACAGATGCACTCTTGACATCCGCGTGGGGGAAAGCCGGCCGCACAATGCTTTTGCACATCTGGTCGATGCTGGTATCAACGGGTAGCCCTGGACCGGAAATCTTGGAAGGCCTGCAAAGCTCAACCCTACACCCTCAACCTCAAACTGTAAACCTGGTACCCTAAACCCAAAGCCCTAAACCCTAAAAACCCTTGTGCCCCAAACCCTGAATCCTAAGCCCTAAACCCCAAACCTAAACCCTAAAAACCTTGTACCCCAAACCCTGCCCTGCTCTAAAGCCCGGAAGCTCCAAACCTCCCGAGCGCTTGCAGGGATCAGTTTCTGAGCAACGAGGAGCGGTTGGCTCTCAAGTTGGCCACGTGCCGGGCCCAGCGCCGGGGCTTTCCTAGCAGTATAGCATCTGTTTGAGGGGTGTGTAAGAGTTTCGTAGGTTTCTGTCCGGAATTATATGGCTTTGGTATGTTTTATCAGGGTTTATAAGTAGGCTGGTTCAGGGTTTTATTTATAAGGTTTGTAAGGTGTTGCAAACTTTGTCTTGGTTTCATTTCGCATCATATACCATATAGGGTTGTGTCGGGTTTTTGTGGGTTTTTCGGGTCTTGTCAGGATGTATACATCGGTTTGCACATATTGTTGCGAGGTTTCGCCAAGTGTTTGTTGTGTGGTTCTATGAGGCCACTTAAAGGGTTTGGGGTGTTTAGGTACTAGATAGGCCGGGCGTTCAATCTACATGCTTGTCTTTCGGGTGTCTCTCCATCCCTACAGTGGGCTGCATGCAGGGCTTACGGCGCTAGGATAGCTATCCCTTAACCCTAAGGGTCCAAAGGACCCAATAATTGGGTACTCAGGTTTCGGATAGTAGTTATGTAGGTTACTATTTGGGAGAGTATATGATTAATTAAGTACTTGGACCCTTAGGGTAAAGCCCTTTGATGGTTATTTCTCCGTCTTTCGGTCTCTCCATCTCTTACTCCGCCGTCCTTCTCTCTCTCTCTCGCTCTTGTCTCCCCTTCTTTTGCCGTCTCTGTCTCCTCCTCCTCCCCAAATGCTCCCTTCCCTCGCAGGCCTCTCCCTGTGTCACGTCCTTCTCAGTGTCCTCCTCCTCCTCCCCAAACCGTAAGCCTAAGAAGCCCTTCTCGCTCTCTGCCTGCCGTCTCCCCGTTTTGCTGCAGCTGCGAGTCGTTCTATAGGCAATGGATCCATGTGGGAGTCCTCCATGTCGGTCTCGTGGGGGTCTGTCGAAATCAAAAGGACCCGGATAGAGAAGACTGCACATGTAGGAGCGATCTGTCGGTTGAGCGAAGTGGGCCTAGGTTTCAGCGACCGGCTAGGGGTCCTTGTATGTAGATCTAGGCCAGGAATCCGTCGACGAGGCGCAGTGTACAGAACAGGGTGTCAAGCGTCAAGTAGTTAGGTGCTCCTACTCTGATAACTGGACTTTGACAGCCCGCGATGCTGGCAACATTTCAGGGTTACGCTGCCTGGCTTTCTGCTCATTCGGTTCATCGCATCTTCTCGAAGTCTGCATGCCTCAAGGTGTGGACAGCTGAGAGTTGAGACTCTGTAAACACAACCGGAGTCAAAACACGCCAAAACCCGTAGAATCCTGTACTCTAAAAAGCCGTAAAGTCCTTAAACGTTAAAGCGCTTGACGCAAAACCCTAAACCCTATAAGCCCCAATCCAAAACTCCTAAATCAAGAAATCCTGAACCCTAAAGCCTAAAAACACGCAGGTTCCCCCGAAACCTGGATTTCGATAGCTCTTGCGGTTGGAAAAGAGCCCTAGACCCTAAGCTCTAAGCCCTAAAAGCCTATAAGCCTATAAGCCCTAAACGCTAATATAGGGGCCTAAATCATTACTTATACTATTTTGGGGGTTCCTTATCAGAATCATAGTATAATGGAGCCCCCAAACTGGGATGCAGGTTTTCGGGTGGCTCGGCTTTTTGCTTTCATCCCTAGGCTCCAGCAATTCCACGAGGAGATTGTGGAGGAGGCTCTCCCCCAGCAGTTTCCAGTTCCCTTTTTTGGGTTTAGGGTTTAGGGTCTTCCGGGGTCTTCCGGGTCCCTTTTCAGGGTTCCTTGAAGGGTTCCACTATTCCTTGAAGGGTTCCTTGAGGCCCACATCTTCTATAGAGAGATAGGCACGCTTGCGGGGGAAGATTCTCGGGCGGAAACAAGACATCTACCTCAGTCAGATAGTAGTGGGTCGGCCAGCTAGCATGATCAGTAGAAAGCAATGGTTGTGTACATATACTGCATCATGCTTCACACGCAGGGCTTGCATGCATACAGGCATGCATGCAAACATACGTAGGCATGCAGGCAGCTGACAGACACACAGACAGCCACACACACACACACACACACACACACACCCACCACACACACACACACACCACACACACACACCACACACACACACACCACACACACACCACACACACACACACACACACACACACACACACAGTAAAGATTTGTACAGCAAGCTGACTCCAGAAGCTCACTTCATATGCACTGAATCTCGCAGCGCTTGAGC